CTCTACTCTCCCTTTCTCTCATTTGCCAAGTAGCACATGTACTTCCAGTTACCTTTCCTATCTGTTCCTTTTCTAAAGTTTGTTTACCAGTTCAGACCATTACCATATACAATGCCAGCCTCTTTATTAATCAGCTTTTTCATTAAAATCTATACACCAAGGAAGTGGTACTGTGGTGCAAGTAGAGCACTAGCCTTGAGCTAAAGAGCTGAGGGACAGAGCCCAGGCCCAGAGTTCAAGCCCCACGACCGACACACACACACAAAAAAGTAAAATCTATACACCTGACAACTGAAACATCAAAGGAGATTACCATGTTTCTAAAAGAAGCCGAATGAGAAGGTTCTAGAGAGCGGTGGAGCAGGGCTGAGGGTTGCCTCAACACCTGTCAGAGGCTGTCACCGTCTGTCTCTGTCTCTCTGCGCGTGGTCCTTCATACACTATTTGCTTTTGGCTGGGCAAGCTCTGCTCTCCCTCAAGCCTAGATGTGGGGGGGAGCAGGTTGGCTCTTCTAGAAGTGCTGTAAACAGATACTATCTTAAGACGCTTCAGAGCCACTCCATTTGTATAAGCAGTCCCCCGTGTTCCCGCACCCTTCTCATTTCCCGGTGCCTGTTCTCTAGGCCCTCTGAGGTTACTCTTGCTCAGAACAGCACTGGAGGCTCAAATCTGAACAGACTGTGGAGCAATTTTGTTTTTCTGGTACTGAAGCTTGAACTCAGGGCCTCAAGCTCTCACTTGGCCTTTTTGCTTATAGCTGATACTAGACCACTAGAAGCTGATACTAGACCACTAGAACCATGTCTTCACTTCCAGCTTTTTGCTGGTTGTAGGGCAATAAAAGTCCTTTGGACTTGTCTGTGGGGTGGCTCTAAACTGATATTCTCAGATCTCAGCCTCTGGGGTAGCTAGAAATACAGGCCTGAGCCCTGGCACCCAACAAAGTAAATGATTTTATGCATTGAAATTCCATATAAGGCCTAGTGTCCATGGTTCATGCCTGTCATCCTAGCTACTCAGGAGACTGAGATCCAGGGATCACAGTTCAAAGCCAGCCTGGGCAGGAAAGTCTGTGAGACTCTTATCTCCAGTAAATTACTGGAAGTGATGCTGTGGTTCAAGTGGTAGAGCACTAGCCTTGAGCAAAAAAGAAGTTCAGGAACAGTGCACAGGCCCAGAGTTTAAGGCCAGAGTTTAGAACTGGCAATAGCAATAATATAATTTCCGTATAAGGAGGCTGACATGAGGTAGACACACAGCTCTGAATCAACAACTCCCAGCCTTCTGCAACGTCTACTTCTAAGAGGCTGGGAAGGTAGGTTGGGCTTGCCTGGCCTTGCCTTGAATCAGATGTAAGTCCTGGACAAATCTAAACTTAGCAATACTCTCTCCCTATGTTGAAACTCAGCTGGAGCAGCAACAGCATAGGAGCCAGCTACTTTTAGAAAACCATCTCCTTGGGGTGTAGTTCTGAGCAACAGAAACAGGTGATGGAAACTAGGTCCAGAAAGAAGAGCCAGATCAAATTCAGAAGCTGACCCAAGAATGAGGACTGCAAATCCAGGCTGATATTGTGGCTACTGTCAGTCAAAAGAAGCAGGTCAGAACCAGGCCAGCTCTCCCATGGCTGTTTTTGCAATGTAGGGAGGGGCAGAGAGGGAAGGGCTCTGATTTTTATGAGGATTATACTGTGTGTTCACTGCTTTCCATGTGGTATCTCATTGGTAGCCATTTTTATGGTTACTAAATGGAAGATCAGAAATGTTCAGCAACTTACCAAATGTCATGGCCATAAAGCAAAAAGCAGGTGTTCAAACCTTGGCATATTTAACATAAACTCTTAGCACTTTCCTCTAGGCTGCCCCCAGAAAAGCAGGAAGGTGAATTTCAACTTTACTTGAGACCCATATGAACGGATCTCAAATCTTACCCCTCAAATCACCTGGGATCATATCCTAATGATTATTTGGGTATCCATAAAAAAATCACTTTACTATTGCTCAAGCATTGACATCAAGAAGTTCTAAGTAAATTGTAAGAATAGGTGTTTCATAGTCTTCCTGGGGACCTATTGCATAGCTTCGACAGGAACTATGCTGTGTGCTGAGAACCAGCTGTATCCCCTGGGCAGGCAGAGGTACTATGCTGTGTGCTTAGAACCAGCTGTATCCCCTGGGCAGGCAGAAGTAGGGTGGACAGAGAAGGTTATGCCCAATTCACCTGGGTTCCACACCGGACACTCAAGACACCTGGTCAGCAACGGCACATTTCCACAAAGCTACTCTGGCTAAAAGTGGTCTCTTAAAATTCTCAAACCAAGTAAAGAACTAAAACAGCATTCCCACAAAAAGGGGGTCGACAAGATGCTGCCTTCACGTATTTTCAGCAGATCTGTTCTTGAAACCAGAAGGAAAGGGACTGTCTGACACACTTGCTCTCTGCCTGTGGGGCTCCCACTTGTTAGGTGTGGGGAATACTGTGGTGCACGGTGTGAATGTGACCTCTGCCTTCACAGACTTTGCACTTGATGAAGCTGTCCTCCCTCTGCTGTCTAAATCTCTACACCCAACAGAATCTTGCAAATTTCTGTTAGCCACTTTGATATTTCTTAAATGCTTAAGTTCAAAACACCCTTTCTAATGTTGTATGTGAATTCTGTTATCTGAGTAGAAAGAGATACTTTATTGTCAAGTTCTTTCTGGAGTGAATCTTGACACAAGAAGATCTCAGAACCTCAAAATAGCTCAGCAAGAAATTTAATACATGTCCAGTGACCCAAAGTCACCTATAGGCCCCTCAGCAGAAGGGTGCCGGCTGCAACACTGATCCCGAGCTCCTCTTCAGTTCAGATCACTCATGGCCATTTCTTCCTGTGGAGTCCCAGACAGAAAGCCTTTATTTGTGTGCCCATCCTGGGGCTTGAACTCAGAGCCTAGCACTTTCTCTGAGCTTTTTTGCTCAAGGCTGAGCTAAAAATCTTTAAGTTCAGTCTAAAGACCTGGCATCTGGTGGAGTGAGTCGTTTGCATGGCTTTGAATCTCAGGTTAGAAATCCAACTGGTGTATCCTCAACCTTTAACACATAGGGGGAAAGAAAATAAACCCTTGGGCTGGGGAGGTGGCTCAGTGGTAGAGCGCTTGCCTTGCATGCCTGAGGCCCTGGGTTCGATTCCTCAGCACCACGTAAGCAAAAAGAAAAAAAAGCCGGAAGTGGCACTGTGGCTCAAGTGGTAGAGCGCTAGCCTTGAGCTGAAGAGCTGAGGGACAGCGCCCAGGCCCAGAGTTCAGGCCCCCACGACCGGACCCAAAAAAAAAAAGAAAAAAGAAAAAGAAAAACCCTTATTTAGATGTCACTTTTCTAAAACTTTCCTGGTCAAAGTAGACAAATTTGCTGGGCACCAGTTGTTCAAGCCTGTAATCCTAGCTACTCAGGAGGCTGAGACCAGAGGATCGTGGTTTGAAGCCAGCCCAGGCAGGAAACTCCATGAGACTCTTATCTCTAACAAACGACTCAAAGAAACCAGAAGTGGAGCTGTAGCTCAGGTTGTAGAGTGCTCTGCTTGTGCAAAAGAAGCTCGGAACAGTACCCAGGCCCTGAGTTCAAGCTCCACGACCGACAAAAAATATAAAATTAAAAAAAAATCGATCTCCTTTGTTGGTCAGCTTGCCGTGCTTTCTTTCCTAAAATCGCTCATTCCTGTTCTTAAATGAATATTTTTCCCTTTGCAAAATCCCAACAGTCATCCATCTGTCACCATTGTGCACTTACAAATCCACCAGTTCTGAGAACTTCTTTGGAAGGTGATGGTTCACAGCTTCTGACAGCTCTTCCTCCCAACGGGAATAGCTTTGCCACCTCTCCCTCTTTGCCACCTTCTGAAATGTTCGCGTCTGTCAGAAGTCTAAATGCCTTCTCCCTGCCCTAGAGGGATGTTTTCAGAGCTGGACTCTTGCAGATGTTATAACTCAGGGCCGAGGTGCGTGGTGCTCCTCTCCTGGCTGCCAGTCCAGACGATTGGTGCATTCGTACCTGGTGAGCTCTGAGAACAACAGAGCGAGTCAGGTTCCAGCCATCCACCTTCGTGAGGCCAAGCGTGTCTGGGCACAGCTGCGTGGTTTGGATGGCGGCATCACTGCCCGAGCAGAGTTGGCTCAGTCAGAGCACTCCTGCTCTTTTTAAAGTCTGGGGCCCCAGGCTGAGATCACCTTTCTTCTTTTGACACGGAACAGATTTGCCTCCGAGTCTCTGTCCCTTCTGTCCTTAGGATTTCCTCTCAGGTAAGCAAGCTTTTACTTAACTGGTGCCCAGCCCGGGGAGCTTAACTTCGGGGGGAGGGCACCAGGAGAGCACTGAGTACTCAGGAGCGATCAGGAGATGCTTGATGAGAACAGCTGGTGACTCCGGAGCTGCAGCCCCGGGTGAGCCCCGGGCCTCTGGGCTGGTCGTGAGCAGCAAGGCTGGCCATGAAGTCAGACTGAGGCTTGGGTTCCTACTCTAGTTGTGTGATGAGCTTGCCGGTGAGTCAGGTGGCAGTGGTCTCCTTTGGTCTACGGCCATCCTTTTGCCCCCATAGTGACTGGTTTTGTGTTTGGATCCACCCTTCTAGAGTCTTGCAGAAAAGCAGAAGCTCGCTGGATAGCTGTGGCTTGGTTTCACTTGGTTGAGTGCTTTCCTTCTTCCCCAGGCATATAACAAGACACAAAGGGGTCCAGGAACCTGCCCCGACAAGCAGGCATCCTCTGTAAACAGGGCTGTGCTGCTGTGTGTTGGGAAGAAGTGCTTGTTTACGCATGTGCTTTGAAGAAAATGAGTGTGAAATGGGAGGGGAGATAGAGGGAGAGAGGGGAAAAAATGTCTCCAGGAGAAAATCTGAATGAGAACTTCTCAACTCAGATGAGTCAACCCAAAAGACAGCGATATGTTGAATGGTCTGTTTGGGGGTGGGTTTGGTGCATTCAGTTGCAGGGCATCTGGACTTGGCTATGGTCAAAAATGCCGCGATGAACACAGGTGTGCAGGTGCCCTGCCCTACCTGGCACACATTCCTTTGGGTCAATGTCCAAGAGTGGTATCAACAGATTGTATGGTAGCTTTATCTTCAGGTTTTTTGGTATTGGTTTTGTCTTTTTATTTTTTTGAGCATACTCATACTGATTTCCATAGTAGCTTTACTGGTTTACATTCCTACCAACAATGTCCTAATGATCTAATGATTCTTTTTTCCCCTTTTCATCACTCTATCCAGATTTTGTTATCCATATTCTTAATGATGGCCATTCTGATTTACATTTCTTTTCTTTTCTTTTCTTTTTTTGTCGGTTGTAGGGCCTGAACCCTGGGCCTGGGCACTGTCCCTGAGTCTTCAGCTCAAACTAGCACACTACCCCTTGAGCCACAGCGCCACTTCCAGCTTTTTCTGTTTATGTGGTGCTGAGAAATCGAACCCAGGTCCTCATGAATATGAGGCAAGCACTCTACCACTGAGCCACCTTCCCAGCTCTGATTTGCATTTCTTTATGGCCTGAGATGTTGAGCATCTCTTCATGTATCTGTTGGCCATTTGTAATTCTTGTGAGAAGTATCTGCTTAGTTCATTTGTCCATTTCTTAATTGGTTTATTAATTCTCTGGGAGTTTAGATTTGAGCTGCTTTTACACTCTGGTTATTAACCCTCTTTTGATGTATAACTGGCAGAGGTTCCCTCCCATTGTGTAGGCTGTCTTTTGAGCCTAATGACAGTCTTTGTTATGCAAAATCTTTTTATCTTTGTAAAGTCTTGTCAATCCTTGTTTTGAACTCTAAAATAATCCAAATACAAAATATATTAGAATAGCTGTGTCCATTCAAGACATAAAATTCAGATGCATTTATGCATTTATAAGAATGTTATAACTGATTGGAAAAGAGGACGCTTTAAGTATCCACTGTGGGAAAAAAAAAAGCACCTTTTCATGAGTCAAAAATACGCAATGCTAGATGAAGACAGACCGCTTCTATCTGGAATGGCTGATGTTTGAGAGTTGCAATGATTGTCCTGGTATTCTTATTTTCCAAGCATTCTTAGCAGCTTTGTAGAATGAAAAGTTTCAGTAACTTGCAAACCGGCTTTTCCAACCGGACAGGTGTTTATAATGCTACTATGGAATTTATTGATGTGAATATTTTAAGTATTCTAATTAATAGTATGTGCCACCACTCTGAGGATCCGAAACCTAATGAAGTTAAAAAATGATGAGGCCTTTGGCAGAACTCTTAGTAACTCAGGCTTTTTGTCTCTAAGTTTGTCCATTAAAGCCTAATTCAGAAATCTCCCTCCCCCTCTGTGAAACCCCCCAGGCAGACTTTTCCTTCTCCCTGGTGTTTCTCACAACTTTTTTGTTTTCCTTTGATGGATCACTGGGCTTGAACTCAGGGCCTGGGTGCTGTCCCTGAGCAACTTTTGCTCAAGGCTAGCGCTCTACCACTTTGAGCCACAGCTTCAGTTTCCGTTCTTGAGTAGTTAACTGGAGATAAGAGTCTCATGGAGCCGGGCACTGGTGGCTCACGCCTGTAATCCTAGCTACTCAGGAGGCTGAGATCTGAGGATCGCGGTTCAAAGCCAGCCCGGGCAGGAGCGACTGTGAGACTCCTATCTCCAATAAACCACCAGAAAACCGGAAGTGGCGCTGTAGCTCAAGTGGTAGAGCGCTCGCCTTGAGCTGAAGAGCTGAGGGACAGCGCCCAGGCCCAGAGTTCAAGCCCCACGACCGACCAAAAAAAAAAAAAAAAAGAGTCTTATGGAGACTTCTCTGCCTAGCCTGGCTTCAAACTGTGATCCTAGGATTACAGGCAGGAGCCACCGGCACGCAGTTCTCAGACCTCTTAATAGCCACTAGACACTACTTTTCCAATGGGCATCATACTCTAAGATGATTGTCTTTCCCGTTAGAATGTCATTTCCACAGAGACAGACACATCTTACCCACCCTTCTATTCTAACACAATACCTGACCAGATTTGACATATCTTCAGCTAAGACATGACACAGTTAAGCTGGAAGCCACAGAAGTATATTTATCACTGAATGAAGCCGTCCAGTCAGCTCAGTGCCCAAGTGTGCATTAATGAGTAAAGGAAAAGGATTTAAAGAGAACTGGGTTCTCATCTAGTGCTTCATCTCTAAAGTGCAGGGTATCCAATATAGGAAATAGGACACAGAGGCCTTCCTTCCTTCTTTAGCACAGTTTTGTGAAAAAATCACATAGGTCTAGATAATCGCCAAAACAATACAAAAAGCCAAACAGCACTAGTCTTTCAGCAGATTTGCTTATGTTCAGAAGTGAATCTCATTTTGTTGCTCAGCTTGGGAGGTGATGTGGTGTGTGGGAGTCACTGTGAACATAGTAATGAAGACCAGGGGTCAGGATGATCTGGGCTTTATCTCACACCCACCATTTCCTAGCAGTAGGCTGTGGCAAGACGCCGAACGCGGAGACGGATTTTAACAAGGACTCCTGGTAATGCTCTGTTAGGAGTTGTGAGGATCGGGTGAGTCCTATCTGTAATGAACCTGGAGAAATCCAAGCCCCTAAAAAACTCAGGATGTAGCAATAGGCACTTAGTCGTTAGGAGTTGTTTTTATTATTGCCAACATTAAAATTTTAGCAGAGGCCCTTGTGATCCCGTCCTTCACGTCCCCCCATGAGTGAATGGAGCTGCTGTGTGCCAGTCCTCGCAAGGGGGTGGGGGAGAGGGCAAGGGGGACAGGCAAGAAGAGGCCGAGGGCAGGAAAACCGCAGGCAAGGGTCACGTGCGCTATCAGAGAACCTGGGAGACAGCAGCCCAAATGGGATGAACTACCGAGGCTCTGGTTACCAATCAAGAACAGCATGTGATGAGCCGGCCACTGCAGTGCACACACACACACACCTTGCAGCCACATTGGGGCAGGAGGAACAGCGGGGTCACCATCCAGCTCAGTGCAATCCATTGGAAAGGTGTGCTCCACATACCGTGTTTCAAACTCTCTAATACTACATTTTAGCAAGCTCAAAATAGCATAAAAAGTACTACAATGTGTGTGGCTTAAATCACAGACACTTACTGCTCACAGTCCTGGAGACTGGGAAATCCAAGGTCAGGTGCCACCGATTCTAGGAAAGCACCTTTTCCTGGGCTGTGGGTGGTAACCGTCTCTCGGTCCTCCTGCTACAGAGAAAGTGAGAGCACACATGCAATCCAGCCTCTCCTTCCTCCCTTCCCTCTCTCCTCCCTTCCCTTCTCCCTCCCTCCTCCTCTTCCTCTCTCTCTGCTCTCTTTTCTTTCCTTTTTGGCGGTATTGGGGTTAAACTTAGGGCTCCAGGCTTGCTCGGAAGTTCCTCAGCCACTGAAAGGTGACTCTAGCCTTTTTTGCTTTAGGTTATTTTTATTTTTTAATCCTGGAGCTCTTTTGGGGATCATCACCATTCACAGCGTGAGTGAAGTTCTTGGCTGTTCTTGGTTTTCTATGAGATCCTTGTATTTTTTTTTTTTCTGTCTGTCTTGAGGCTTGAACTCTGGGCCTGGGCGCTGTCCCTCAGCTCTTCAGCTCAAGGCAAGTGCTCTACCACTTGAGCCACAGCGCCACTTCCAGCTTTTTCTGTGTATGTGGTGCTGAGGAATTGAAACGAGGGCTTTATGGGTGCTAGGTGAGCACTCTACCACTGAGCCACATTCCCAGCCCTAGGCCCGACCTTTGCTAGACAAGTGCTCTGCCAGTTGAGATACACTTCCAGCCCATTTTACTTATTTTTCAGGAAGGGCCAGCCTTGGACTGCAATTTCTCCTTTCTTCCTTCTGCGTAGTTGGGATTATGGTAAGTAACCTGGCAAGATGGCAGTGCTCTAACTTTCAGTCTGAACGTGGATCTGCAATTCAAAGGCTTTTAGCTCCATAAGAGAGCAAAAATTTTCCCTTCCTCTACACTTTTTTTTTTTGGGTCCGGTCGTGGGGCCTGAACTCTGGGCCTGGGCGCTGTCCCTCAGCTCTTTAGCTCAAGGCTAGTGCTCTACCACTTGAGCCACAGCGCCACTTCCGGCTTTTTTCTTTTTGCTTATGTGGTGCTGAGGAATCCTCTGGCATGCAAGGCAAGTGCTCTACCACTGAGCCACCTTCCCAACCCCTCCTCTACACTTTTTGTTCCAGCAAGTCCCCCAAGACAATGGGACTACAGATTTTTCAGTCTATCCACTGACTTGTTAATTTGTGGGGGGAGGGGTCGGTTGTGGGGCTTGAACTCTGGGCCTGGGTGCCATCCCTGAGCTCTTTCTTCAGTTTAAGGAGAGTGCTCTACCACTTGAGCCACAGTGCCACTTCCAGTTTTTTGAGTGATTAATCGGAGATAAGAATCTCACGGACGCTGGTGGCTCACACCTGTAATCCTAGATACTCAGGAGGCTGAGATCTGAGGATCGCGGTTCAAAGCCAACCCAGGCAGGAAAGACCGTGAGACTCCTATCTCCAATAAACCACCAGAAAACCGGAAGTGGCGCTGTGGCTCAAGTGGTAGAGCGCTCGCCTTGAGCTGAAGAGCTGAGGGACAGTGCCCAGGCCCAGAGTTCAAGCCCCACGTCCGACAAAAAAAAAAAAAAATCTCACAGACTTTCCTGCCTTGGTTGGCTTTGAATCTCGATCCTCAGATCTCAGCCTTCTAAGTAGCTAGGATTAAAGGCGTGAGCTACTGGCACCTGGCTGGCTTGTTAATTTTCTGGGACATTTTCACCCTGCTATGACAGGGTGGTAGTGGGATTATTGTTGTTCTTGGTTTCCCTCAGGCATAGCCATCACACTTTTGTTAAGTTGTTTCTTCACTGGGCTGATCAGCTACTCTCTTTTAATGGACTGTCCATTGATTAATACAAAGAAGACACTGATACTAGACTCTAGTGTTGAGAAACGCTTGAATATAGTAACCATCATTAAATATCTTCCTATCCCTAGGCAGATGCTCTGACACCTTTAGGCATGGCCAAACCCTAGGAAGACATTTTATA